TTCCAGATCCAAGTGTAGTAAAGACAAGTAAAACGAAATTTTGAACTATAAAAACGAAACGAAATAGAATCTGTGTATTAACCAGATTGGACATGCCGTAACAATTCCAAGATGGCTCCTCTCATGTTTAAAGACTAGTAAAACGAAATTTTGAACTATAAAAACGAAATGAAATAGAATCTGTGTTTTAACCAGATTGGACCAAACCCTAAACATAGACCAACCCTTTTTCCCTAACCTAAATCATCACCATACCAAGACCAAAGCTGGATTAATGCTTATAAATCAGGATTTATTTCTTTGTTTTGATTAGGACTTTAAACCAGAAAGATTTACCACTGAGGCCATTGATAGCCGAGATCCATATGCTTTTGTTCCTTTTTCTGCTGGGCCAAGGTAAGACAACAAAACTTCTCGGAGACGGATGGGAGACGGTCCAGCACATATGACATCATAGGATAAGGGTTGGGCTTGGTCCAGGATTAGCGCTAGCCCTGTTTACATTTAGAAACTTTGACGAAATCTGTGGGTCCTAATCTTAGCCCTAACCCACAATCCACATATGATGTCATATGATAAGGGTTAGACTTGGTCCAGGATTAGGGTTAGGGTTAGCACTAGCCCTGTTTACATTTCGAGACTTTGATGAAATCTGTAGGTCCTAACCTTAGCAAGACTAATCTATCCACCACGGGACCCGCAAATTAGCGGAGTCACGGTTCAAAATCTATTCGAAAAATGTATCAAGAAGGATTGTAATATCTGCCATAAATTAGACCAAAATAACTACTTCTTTAGTGGTAAAACTGGTAAGAAATATTCCTGCCGCACGGGCTATAATTCTACCTATTAACATGCTCTCTCTGCAAAAAACAATACGTAAGAGAAAGCAAGCGTGCTTTTTCTAAACGGATAAAGGAACACTGCAGATATTAGACACAGCAGGCCAAAGCCGGTCGCTTTACACTTCAACTTAGATAAACATACGAGTAGGAATGTCATGATTAAAATAATAGAGCTTTTTAAGACTGACCAAGATAATGGCAAAAACGATGCCGTAAGGAAAGCCAATGAATTCAAATGGATTCACACTTTAAGAACATTCGCACCGGATGGCATTAACGATAAGGTGTAGTCCGGAGGGGTCCCCCACTTTATTGTTTACTTGTTTTATTTGTACAGAAATTGTATTGGTCAGAATTTTGCCATGAATGAGATGAAGACAGTGATTAGTCGAGTTGTACACAGGTGAGTTCAAGTTATTTCACCATTCATGAAAAGTGATGTAAGATTCGTAACTTGTAACGGATTTGCTAGGAAAGTCAGCAGTATTGAGAATATGACTAGTGCTGTGCCAAATCACGCAGATCAGAAGTGAATATTCGCTAGGTCGCTACACAATCGCTGATAGGGATGACATCACACTGATCAGCAGTGAATATTCTCTAGGCTGCTACAATGACTGATAGGGATGATGAGCCCCCCAATATTAATGAGCCCCCAATATTAACTTTTTTCCTTCTGCAAATAAATTCTAGAACATTTTTTTTTGAAGTATTAGAATAATAAATGAAGGTGTTTTAAGTATATATAGGTAAAAATATTTCCTATTTAGTGTAAATGGGTGTGTAAAATGAGTAAAAGGCATCATTCTGCCCGGGCCAGTAACCGTCTTATGCAAACAAGACATGTGCCATTGGGCCAATGATTGATGCCGTGTGATGTGATGTCACATGTTGAAAGCAGTCATCTTATACTCAGAGAGATAGAGAAATGGTGTTTAACAGAGCTATAAGAAGACTTTCCTCAATACGTTTGTCAAACAGGTGATCGAGGTGAATGCCGAAAATCAGCAGTGTGAACACTGTAGTGTATTTTGGAGTTATTCCCCATGTAACATATTTTTGGAGTCATGTGACGATGAACCCTATCGATATTCAGCAACTTTGCATATCTGAGTCGCTTGCCCCCCTTTGCCAAAAACATACAATAAATCCCTGGCACTTTAAACAGCAAATCCTTTCATTGACGTTGTTTGTAGATTGGGTGTAGAATATGATGTTTTTGTTTGTAGACTTCATGTAGAATATAATGTTTTTGTTTGTAGACTTCATGTAGAATATAATGTTTTTGCTTTGTTTGTAGATTGCGTGTAGAATATGATGGTTTTGTTTGTAGATTGCGTGTAGAATATGATGATTTTGTTTTGTTTGTAGATTTTGTGTAGAATATGATGTTTTTTTATGTTGTTTTTAGATTGCGTGTAGAATATGATGTTTTTGTTTTGTTTGTAGATTTTATGTAGAATATGATTTTTTTTTATGTTGTTTTTAGATTGCGTGTAGAATATGATGTTTTTGTTTTGTTTGTAGATTGCGTGTAGAATATGATGTTTTTGTCTTGTTTGTAGATTGCGTGTAGAATATGATGTTTTTGTCTTGTTTGTAGATTGCGTTTAGAATATGATGTTTTTGTCTTGTTTGTAGTTTGCGTGTAGAATATGATGTTTTTGTCTTGTTTGTAGATTGCGTGTAGAATATGATGTTTTTGTCTTGTTTGTAGATTGCGTGTAGAATGATGTTTTTGTCTTGTTTGTAGATTGCATGTAGAATATGATGTTTTTGTCTTGTTTGTAGATTGCGTGTAGAATATGATGTTTTTTTAATGTTGTTTGTAGATTGCATGTAGAATATGATGTTTTTGTCTTGTTTGTAGATTGTGTGTAGAATATGATGTTTTTATGTTGTTTGTAGATTTCGTGTAGAGTATGATGAGACAAGAATACCTGAACCGATACCTGAAATAGTTACACGAGCTAAAGATGGGTTATATTTGCGATTTATACCCAGAAACCCTGGAAAATAAATGGATGAAGTACAAGCTCCGGGTATCATTTGGATTCCTCATTATTCTTAAAAGTTTTTTAAATACGCCCACATTTTCATGTAGACATATATTGTTGTAGCCTGTGTCCGTCCATCCACAATTGTTTGTGCACACTCTACAGGTCACAATTTTTATCTGATTTTGATGACACTTGAAATATAGGTTTATCTCCAAAAGATCTTAATTCCTTTCGATATTGGCATCTTTCGGGCCATAACTTCTTGGATTATGGTTCCTGATTGTACGAAAAATCATGTTTTTAGCTTGTAAACACTCTAGAGGTCACAATTACCCAAAGATCTTGGTTCCTTTCGATATTCACGCATATCAGACTGTAGTAACTTTCTGGGTTATGGCCCCTGATTGTTTGAAAAATGGCTTCTTTTTTTTAGCTTGTTCCCTATCTATCTATTTCAAAATGTGGGTGTATCTTGCATGTCAATCGCTGATTATAAATATCATTCATAATTAAAATGTAGCCTGGTGATTACGTTTTTTTTTGTTTATGTGCTTTTTATAGATTAATTTGTTGTGATTTTATATTTGTTTTTGTAAAGCGCCGGAGAGCAGCTTGCTGAGTTGAATTGTTGGTGCTATATCAATTATTAGTATTATTATTACTACTTTACTTCCCATTTCCCAATATTGTTTAGATTAATAAAAAAATGTACATTACCCTCATAGAGATATATTGAAAAATATTCATAATCATATATATTATAGATATCAATCATATGTCAAATATTGCTAAGAATAATTTGCTCAAATATCTTAAAGATACATTATATAAGATTTAGATAAAGAGCAGACCATTCTTGCTATAATAGCTCAAAAATAGATAATATAAAATGAACATATTGAAAATTTCATTCAAATTACTTCATTCAGAGCCAAGTTATCCCTGTTTGTAGTTTTGGCAAGATGTGTTCATAGTTGTAACCAGGGCACTGGTATATTCGAGACTTAGCTTCGCTTTCCCATTTTTAAATTAATTTTTTTTATAATGGCGAACCGTTCTAATCTAGTTAAAATCTCAAGTATCCGATGTCATCGAGAGTTGATTATGGTCTTGTTTTGTTAATAAATGTCTAATTAATGGTTTATTTAACATTTCAGGCCCAAATAAAGCCCTGCAATAGGCATATTTAGCTCTTGCATAATGTATGTTTAAATAATTATGATGACCATAAGACAAAGATGGTCCCAAAATTTCTCAATCATAATAGCAAGCTTCAGAATTTACTGGAATCAAATTTATTAGTATAGCTATAATCAACTCTCTAGACTATTGGATGTTGCAGATGTAAACAGTTTGAAATACGATTGCCATTTAATGATTTAATTCAAAGATGAAGAAATGAAGCTGAATGTTGATTTATAAAAAAGCTTGCTATATAATAAACAATCTAAGTCAAAACAGTGATAAGGCCACTCGAAATAAATTAATTTGAATGAAATTTTCAATATTTATTTTTGAATTACCTATTTTTTAGAACTATTATAACAAGAACAGCCAGCTCTTTATCTAAATATTATCTAAAGTATCATTAACAAACTTTTCCAGTGATATATATTGGCGCGTTACTGGAGTCTTGTCTGAGAGCACTCAGTGCAGGCTCAGGGGAGTCCTGTCTGAGAACACTCAGTGCGGGCCTAGAGGAGTCCTGTCTGAGAACACTCAGTGTGGGCCTAGAGGAGTCCTGTCTGAGAACACTCAGTGCGGGCCTAGAGGAGTCATGTCTGAGAACACTCAGTGCGGGCCTAGAGGAGTCCTGTCTGAGGACACTCAGTGCAGACCTAGAGGAGTCCTGTCTGAGAACACTCAGTGCAGAACTAGAGGGGTCCTGTCTGAGAACACTCAGTGCAGGCCTTAGGAAGATTTTCTGGAATGTGATCTGTTCATTATTTGTGTAGATGTCTGTATAACTTAAAGATACCGACTTGACATTAATAGAAACCTGGATGAACACCTGACCTGGATGAACACCAATGTAATCTTTATTTAAACATGAATCAGAATTGATTGATTTTATTTCTTTTGATTGATTTTTAGTACTCTTTGGATTGTCACATCTTGAACTCTGACCTCAATGTGATTAAAATACAGATCTATATTTCATTTCATTTTTTTGATACTTTCGTTGGCCTACACTACATGAAGATCTACTGAAAGGTCGCGTCAGGGGTCATACGAACGTCTTTTGACCCTATGAATTTAGACATTTGATTTACCAATCAGCGTTGATGTTTGTAGTAGAATACCCACAGTTCCGTGCATAGCATGCCAAGAACTCACTGCAACAGACCGTTTCATTGGCTAAGCCCTCACATCAAGCAGAACGCAGGTTATATAACAACTCTTGAAACTCTGTTGTTTTTTTTCTTACATCTAGTAGAGTTATAGCCCTTGTTTCACTTTACAGAACCGGGTCAAGTTTCTAACAACTTATGTTATAATTTTAGTCATTATCTGATCTGTATTAAATTTATATACATTATTTAAATTTGTAAAATAGCAATTTTTTGTTGATTATTTCTACCAGTTGTGGACCCTGTTCACTTTGTTAAACCCCTTGTGAAGGCTCTAACAACAAAAATTATCATCCTATCTGTATTAATTCATATATACGCGTTATTTAGATTACAAAAACGAAGAAGCCTATAAAATTTCAACAATTTCCGTATATAAGTTGTTAAGTTATGGCCCTTATTTCACTTTGTTGAACCTTGTGAACGCTCTGGCCACATCTGATCTGTATGATATTGATATCAGTGTCTTGTGAATGTACCAATTTCCTGTAAACGATTTAGCTGTTATGGGCGTATTTTCGTTGCCTGGCAACCTATCTTTGCACCATAGAACTAGAATAGGCCTACGCATAAAAAAAGAAGAATAGTCTTACATAACCACTTGGCAAATAGGAAAATGAATGAATGTCCTGCTGGTCTGTTCAGACTAGGCTAATGAAGAGGGGCATTCGCCATATAGTGTGCTATGAGGGAAATTTGCACGGAAGGCGGCGCTACGGCCTACTCTTATATCGAATTCCAATTGTCAGGTTTGAGGGGTTTTTTTACATGACGCAAACACGGGATCTCGGTTTTTCGTATACGTTGTCTTTTTTTCAGGCCCTGGGAAACCACACCGGAAGATCCTGATGTACTTTCTCGGCTAAACACCGGGATCGAACACCTACATACTAATATACCGTTTTTACAACGGGTGGTCTAGAATGTTTAATATTGTCCCCCGCAAGAGGGAGTCACGGTTGCTCAGTGAGTAAGACGCTGGGTCACTAACCAGGAGGTCCGTGATTCGATCCTGGTATTCATAGAAATAATTCCCACGACGGGGGGCCTGTCTAGTCATTCGAACGAGACTAATTACAACCGATCAACCGCCTACATGTTGGCGTTCAAGTTAAAGTTGGAATTCGAAATAAGTAATAATAATAATCTTTATTCATGAAAACCATCAGGTTACACGAATTCATTAAATTTCATTTTACATTTTCATTATATTCACAATTCACAATTCATTTCACATCAAACTATAAACGATTTAAATTTAACATTAAGTGTAAGTCATAATTAAAGATAGCTCGCTTTCCGGCACACTTTACCTGTTAGCACACAGTATGGCGTGTGCCCGTTTTCATTAGCCAGGGTCCTACAGAATAGCAGGACTTTAAACGCTATTTCAAAAATTGTTAATTAAGTGTGGTTTAATGGTCGAGAGCGAGACATTAAGTAATATATTGAAACAACACGACGTCTTATTACGCAATGTCTTAAGCTCAAGACTATTAAAGAACTTAAAATACAGACACTCGCACATGTTTTGCAATGAAACTCGTCACGCGGGTCCAATATTTCAACTAGTATAAATAATGTACGTTTGGCACATTGCCCGTACCATTATTTGAAATAATGATACTCCAACACCAAAGTATGACGTCACATCTGTATATTAAGTATTGTTTAATGGTCGAGAGCGAGACATTAAGTAATATATTGTAACAACAAGAGGACCGTCAGGTCCGAGTGTTTTTACAATATATTACGCAATGTCTCAGCTCGAGACCATTAAACATCTTAAAATACAGACACTCCGCACGTGCGTTTACAGTGAAATACGTCACTCGAGTCTAATATTTGACAAGGTACGATTGGCAAGTTGCCCGTACGATTATTTGAAATAATGGTACGCCAACATCAAAGGGTGACGTCACATCTGTATTTTAACAATGATTACAGGATGGTATGCGTATAATTGAAATGAAATGAAATGAAATGGGGTTTAACGTCCTACTGTGTATGCGTATAATTAACAAGTTTTTTGATTAATTATTGTGACTATCAGTTATACTGACACGTGATAATCACAGTATGCCATGGCACGGCGTCATTAATTCCAATACAAGTGTCTAATCACCAGAGTTGTCACCCCACAAGCAATCAAAATTAACACTAGATATTGTGGAATACTGGTGTCCTCGATTTCGATTTCCCGGTTGTACGTGACAAGGAGTTGGGTCGCCTGTCAAACCTCGTGGGTTTCCTCCCACTGCTAAAGACCCCTACGAACAAGCGAATTATTGAAATAAAATTAAACTATATGTTAGTCCCGAAATGACCTAGTTTAGTTTGTGTCTAGTGGGCGTTAAACCCCATTTCTCTCATCCGAAGGACTAGGCTAGATAGCACTGTTGCAAGAACATTTTGAAAAATAGGGACTTCAGTGGTGATTTGTTGCACATATTTAGACCAAATGTAACATTCAATTTAATCAGCTAATACCTCACTATACTGCAACTGACAAAAAGCTCAAAGTTACACGTGTCATACAAAAAGTAGGACGTTAAACCCCATTTCATTTATATATATATATATATATATCTGAATCAACTATTATTTTAATTCAGAGGGAGAGAGAGATGGGGTTTAACGTCCACACAACACAAACTAGGTCATTTCGGGACTAACATACGGTTTAATTTTATTTCAATAATTCGCTTACGCGTAAGGGTCTTTAGCAGTGGGAGGAAACCGGAGGACCCGGAGAAAACCCACGAGGTTGGATGTTTTAATTCAAAGATATAATATTAAGATGAAACCATTAAGATATTTGATTGAAACTAACCAGCCGAATGTCATTATTTTAGATGCGAACATTAAAAAGTTGGGTTGTTCGTGTAGAAACATATTATTGATTTCATGTTATATGAAAAAAATAACGGTTAGCATCACCATACGATATATAATAAACACATAACAATAATCTATATACACTGATAAAAGAACAACGTAACAATAGTTTATATTACCTGGCCAGAAGATAATGTAACAATAGTCTATATTACCTGATCAGAAGAGTTATAGACAAGCAAGGTGTTAATGAATCGTGAACAAACGGATCCTACAGCAGTTCCCTCTATCTCACACGATCTTGAAAGGAAAACAGACGTACAACGTTTATGAGGTAGTTATTTTAACGTTTTTTAATTTAAAAATTTGGTTCGCTGTATGTAAATAGGGGAGGTGTAGGGGAGACGGGTGGTTGTTTTGATTGTGTATAGTCATAAACTTTCTATTTAACCTATTGATTGTGTATGGTTTTAAACTTTATATTTAACCTGGGCTCTGTTCACAAAAACTTCAATCTCCTTAAAATCATCTTAAACTAAAATATCATCCTAATTTAAGATAGATGCGTTTCACAAAACGATTTTAAGCATTTTAGATAAAATACACTAAAATAATATTTTAAGTTAAAATTTTATCTTAAAGGAGATATAAGTCGCTAATATTTGAGTCCTAGAAATTGACACAAATTGGTCGAAACGCATATAATAATGTAATATGAATGTATATAAACTGATTTACATTAATCGTTTTCAATGTCGAAGACTTTGGATGATATTGAGTTAGAGACGTAGCTATTTTAACTTAAAATAGTGCGTTTCACTAAACTATTTTGGGGACAATTTTAACTAAAATCAGTTTTAACATATGACAGCCGTCACCCTCCCCTAACTTAAAATCACGACATTAACAAACATTGATTAGAGCTACGTTGTTAGATCTATTGCGACATATAAACATATTTGGAATAATGATAATATTGCCAATTGCCAACACTCAAAACCCCAGTAAACAAAACTCTTTGTTACTATTTTATATATTACCATATGATTCAAGTATAAATTATACCTTTTTCAAATAATTAATAGACAAAACAAAAAAAAAAACAAAATGAAAAAATCTGAATTCACTTCATATCTAATGTCATAGAAAGAAGAGCACTCTTTCTATAAAACAATATCTTCGTGTAGGTCTACAATGGTTTAAAATTGCCAATTTATTGATATAAGAAGGCCACCAGGCCCACATACAAAGTATTTACTCATATGGATTAGGGATTGATGATTTGTAAAAAGATAAATCAATAATCTCAAATGTGTTTATTGTAAAATGATATACAGTGTAGGTCTATTTGAAATTAAATTTTAATATCATGAATTTATTATTATTTCTAATACCAAGAAATTGGCATTGTTAAACCATTGTAGGCCTACACGAAGATATATTTTTTATAGGGCTATAATATTCATCGCGTTCGTGCCATCTCTCGTTCCGTTCAACGCTTCGAGCTATGGTGACCAAGCTCCCGTCACACCCAACAACGTTCTGGAAAATGTTGCCAAACGGGCTCAGACTGTGTGCGAACTCATTAAACGTAGTAGCAACTGTTTATGATTTGTTTGAGAACTTTGTGGACGGGCTCGGACTGGCAGGGTGCTCTAGAACTTTAAGCCTATTCAAATTTTCCCCCGTCCTGTAATTTGACGGAGGGACAACGTAATTAAAACAAGATGGGCGTATTTACACTGATCAGCAGTGAATATTCGCTACATGCTACAATCACTGATAAGGATGACATCGATGCAACTTAATGAGCCACAATTATTAACTTTTTTCCTTCGACAAATTAAATTCTAAAACATTTTTGTTATGTATTAGAAAAAAAATAAAGACATTTGAAGTATTTGTAGGTAAAACTTATTTCCTATTTAGTGTTTAAATGGGTATTAAAATAACTAAAAGTTACCAT